AAAAAATTGATTTTAATTGACTTAAAATCTGTACCAAATAAGCTCTAAATAATCATTGAATTCAAATTTTTTTATTTTTTTATTTTTTAAGAAAAACCGCCTCTTGGACAGTTCAAAAAATTCCACTTTGCTCTCTCACTATCTTTCCTTTTCTCATCACACTTTGATACGCTCCCTCCCCTTCCCCCACTCTCGCAACTGCAGTTCGAAAATCTGAGATTAATTACACAAAGATCGATTTTTTTATTTTTCTATTTGTCCGGAAATGGAGGAGTTTAATGATGTTGATCAACAAGCAAATGCTCTCAGTCTCATCGATCTAGACTATCAGTTTTCAGGTTCTAGAATTCAATTTTACCTTCTCTTTGGTGTTTTTGTTTTATATCAGTAGAATATACGTAAATGTATATTAGTAGTTATATTTTCATTCTGAATACGCATCCATTACATGTATGTATAACTTCCACCTTGCCCTTTATCTGTGAAATGGAAATTTTAATTTTGGGATTCTTGGTGCTGGAGAGTGCAATCGGCAGAAATTCTCTTTGGACTCACATAAAAGTTTTGTATTTTATTTTGTTGTAAGGTGATCACCTTTCATATATTTGTTGATCTGCTGTGATACTTTTTGCTTGAATTGTAATTCAGAAAACGAGACAGAGGCCACGACTCTTCAGTTGTCAGAAGCTATGGGTGCACAAAAAGAAGTGTTTATCACCATCAACGGTGATGGAAATGACCAATTACCTGAACTGCGTGAGTGGACTGAACCGGAAAGCAGCCAACGAAATGGAAGATGTAACCTGCGTGAAAGTTTAGCCTGGGATAGTGCTTTCTTCACTAGTTCAGGTACTCTTCGTAAATTGAAGATTAACATGTCAGTCCATTCGATAGATCGTGTATCCTTCACTGGTAGAAAAATCCTTTTTTGTATCTAATAAGTAAATTTCTTAAATTCTTTAGGTGTTCTGGAGCCGGAGGAATTGTCCAGTATGCTTAAAGGAGCTGGAAAGGCCGGAAAACATTTATTACCTGGAATTGAAGAAGATATAAGAAGGTCAACTGAGTCGATCTCCACGCTAGAAAGTGATAGTTTGACCCTTGGAAGTCTTGAGGATGACTTGTTTTCAGACATAAGAGCTTCAATCCAAAGATCTAGCAGAAGAGCATTATCTATGACAAATTCCAGCAGCAACGTGATACCGGTGGTGATAGATAACCAAGCAATTTCATGTGAGTTTCCAGTACAAATTGAAACTGGTATATTCCAGTACAAATTGAAACTGGTATGCTTCAGTACAAAGTATTGAAGTTACTGAAAGAAATGTTAATGCAATCCTCAAACAAATGAAACTTGTAAAAAGGGAATAGGAAGAAAAACAGAAAATAATCGAGAATCTCGTAAGTTGCAGTTCGGCAGACATTGCAGCTTGACAAAGTCTCTGATGCGATATGGCACTATTTGCAATAGGACAGAGATGGCCCTTGGACCATACTGACTACTGAGAAAATGCCATTATTTTTTAAAATACATCCTGAAAAACCAGTTATAAAAAATTAGAAAACTTGAAACATTATCCTTTCCAATTAATACATTCACGTTCCATGATTATGCGTCCCAAAACAGAGATGTCAAGATGTAACCTGCGTAAAAGTTTAGCCTGGGATAGTGCTTTCTTCACTAGTTCAGGTACTCTCTGTAAATTGAAGATTAACACGGCATTCCATTCGATAGATCGGGTATCCTTCACTGGTAGAAAAATCCTTTTTTGTATCTAATAAGCAAATTTCTTCAATTTCTTTAGGTGTTCTGGACCCGGAGGAATTGTCCAGTATGCTTAAAGAAGCCGGAAAGGCCGGAAAACACTTATTACCTGGAATTGAAGAAGACATAAGGAGGTCATCTGAGTCGATCTCCACGCTAGAAAGTGATAGTATGACCCTTGAAATTCTTGAGGATGACTTGTTTTCAGACATAAGAGCTTCAATCCAAAGATCTAGCAGAAGAGCATTCACTATGACAAATTCCAGCTGTAACGTGATACCCGTGGTGATAGATAACCAAGCAATTTCATGTGAGTGACCACTTCCTGAAACTGGTTTACTTCAGTACAAATTATGCTGTGGAATGAAAATAACATAAATCGTGAAATGAAGCTATAATTCAGTGGCACTGATACGTCATAGGGAAAATTTATTAAAAACAACCTCACTAGAGAGAGGATGCTCCAGAATAGGTTTTCGTGTTATGGAAGTAGATAGTAAAGATGTGGAGAATGATACAGTGTTGCTAAGGTTATAACACACTAAGGGACATCAGAATTGGTGAGTAAGATTGCTTCTCTATTAACTGGACATATCATCTGGTAAGTTCTAACAATTTGCAATGGAATTATGAGCCATGATGCACCAATATGAAACCACTTGTCAAGTTCGGTTGCTTTTAGTTTTAAATATGGAAATTGAGTGTTCCGACAAGTGGAAGTTGAGATAATTCATCCACGCATCTCACGTCTCTCACTTTCATATTAATCTCTGCTTGACTGAATTATTTTTGGCATGATAACATAAATTTAGAATTATACACTGTTGCTACTTCAATTTTTTTTTTCTAATTCTGAAAAAATAAAGAACGAAGAAAGAAGCCATGTTAGCAAAATTTTCTTGGTGAAGTAAGGTTAAATAATTCGAGTTTGTCTCTGCCTCTGTCTAAGCATCTGGATAAGCAAACTTGCACTAGGGCGATATTCACAGTGGTGAGATCCTGTTTATATTTTGTTTCTGATATACTCTAGGATTTTGCTGGAGCTTAATTTCTGTAATTACGTGGAATCTTTTTTACTTGCTTTGTTTGTTCATTCGTTGGAAACAAGTATAGTGTCCTTTGTGTATCATTTGCAACTATATTTTCTTGAATTTATACCGGAATAATTTGTAGGTCTGAGGAAGGACGACCAGGCTTCTGAGAATCAGGTATGTTTGAGTAAGTGGTACTGGTACACACCTGTTGATTATCATTGCTTTGCTAATTACTGTAATGAGTGGAGATTGCAATCTTAATTCAGCTAAATCCAAAACCTGCTGTAAAGAAACGTATTGGCATGCAAGCAATTAGGATCTCAAAATGTCAATCAAAGCAAAATATTGGGCTGCAAAGATCAGGGAAAGCAGTTGAGAAGGATTCTGGGCATTTTCAAGTGACACAGGCATGCTTTATTTGGATTATTTCTTTTAATGTTGCACCTGATATTTTTTATCTTTTAAATATTCCAATTTCTTCTAGGAACAGACTATAACTGGTGTTATAATGATTAATGATTGACACGAGCTATAATTTTGTTGTTAAGAATGGGCAGTCAAGTTCATCACTTCCCAAACCACGCAAGGCAATCAATAGGGTCATCCCCACTTCAACGGCAGCAGCAAAGAGGTCTTCTTTGAGTAGTGGTGTCAAAACTGAAAATGAAGGCACACATCTCAGTACTGGTAATGGAATTCTGACATATTGAATTGTTCAGTAGATTACAACAGTTTATTTCCATCAGTAACATTCTTACCTTGAAACTGATAGTTGCCACTAAAGGGACTCAGGCATCAAAGGTACCTGTCTTAAGTGGTACAAAGAAGGTATTGTTGAAGCCTGCATTGTCTTCCAAGTTCTCTTCTTTGAGTTCTTCAACTACAAGCAAGATGCAGTCTACAAGATCCACTTCGAGCAACAGTACCGTGTTACCTGAAACCACTGCTAAGTCTTCATTAATGATAGCAAGAAGAAATCCCATCAAAAGCAGAACTCTTAATTCTGCTTCTTCTGGTTCCATTCCCAAAAACCTATCAAAAGCTAAAGTGAAGAATGATCGTTCATCATCTGCCCTGTCAGCTTATCTGGTGTCAGCTATGACCTCAAATATGTCACCAACTAGTTCTATTGACGAATTATCTTCTGCATCATCGTCGTCGTCGTCATCATCATCTTCTACGATCAACCGAAGGTCCAACAACTCAAGGAACAGTCTCAATACTAGTTCTGGCCAATCTGTTGGTGGTGATATAGTTTCTTTGGATTTCAAGAATCAGTATACTAATGGAATTGCCAATGGACATAAAAGTCGGGGAACAGCTTCACCTGGTAACATTACAAGGAAAAGTTCGACACAAGCCAGTAAAGCTGGTACACTTTCCAGTCAGCCTCCTCCGAAGGTGTCAGGACTACGAATGCCATCGCCAAAGATTGGGTTCTTTGATGGGGTTAGTTCTGCTTATTTTTTAATACTTGCTTTTCATTTCGAGTTTTGGCTCTAATTGATTGACAAGCTTTTAGCCGTTGAACATTTTTTGAATAGTTCGAGCAGTATCCTTTACTGACATCAAGATGGATCTAAATAATCATATTTATGTTGCCATGTTTTCTAGATAAGGTTCTTCATAACTTATTACCGTCTCTGTTCTTACTAGTGAAAGATGAACCAAACTTATTCTGTCATGTAGGTGACATCGTCGGTTTCTCAATCTGGAATTCCGACTATGCTACCTGAGAAAGGAGGTGTCATGTGCAGTTCAAACAGGAGCTCCAACATAAAACCAAGGCTTAGAAAGCTTCCAACTGCTAGAATGGTAACTGCTTTGGCAAACACAAATTCTTATATTCAGAAAGCCACACCTCCTATATCCTCTGAAGAAAAATCATACACACGGGCAACTGTTTCCACTTCTCTGGTAGATGTAGAATATGGTAAGTCGTCTGTTGAAGTTGAAGGAAACACGAGCAGAGAAAGTTGCTCGAATATGCAGGAAGTTATCGGTGATGATGTTAAGCTTGATATAGATAAAGGTTCCAGGGCAAGACCGGATGAGAACATAGGAGTCTTGACAGATGAAACGGTATTAAATATGCATGGAAACATAGGCACAGAAAATTTTGAGATTGTAACAAGTGTTGATCAGAAAGTAGATGAAAATGTAATTGATGGCCAAAATCATGCTAAGAAATCCCATCCAATTTGCAGAGTGGACAGAAAAGAAAGTGGTCATATTGGAGATCAAGTTGATGGGGTATGCGAACACAAAATGGATGGAAATTCAAATATCCATGGCCAAATGGATGAAATTATTAGTGAAATGTCAGATTGTGTTTCAGAAACTTCTTCTGCAATCACGTCCGAGTCTGCAGGTGGCAGAGCCCCTTTTGCTGTCAAGAATTTTCTGTAATGACGAATGTCTTGATAATTCTCATGACTCGCCAGTCCAGAATTTAGAGAAGTCAAATTTTCCCTTGCTTTCTCCTGAGCAGAAAGTCAATCACACAGAGAGGGGAGAGGCGGAGGGGGGCGGGGGGAAGTGTAATGCTTTGACTTCTGCTCAAGTTTAGATTT